ACCTGCCGCAGCCCGGCACCCGGGGCGGGGAGGGCAGTGCTGGGCGAGGGGGCCCCTCCGCGCATGCGCGCTGCTCCCGGCCGCACTCGGCCCCGCCCCGCCCCGCCGGGGCTCGGCTGCTTGCAAGCGCCCTCAACCCGTTTCCAAGCGTCCGTAGTGCCCGCGCCTCAGTGCTTTATGCCTCCGTCCTTTTTGATCATGATCCCGGTTTTCTGTGACTTAAAAAAAAATCCCCCATTTTGTTTAAAGGAAGTAGCCCCCAAGCCACATGTTCCCACGATTTAAATGAAACGCTACCACTACAGAGTGGTGTTTCATTTTAATCGTGGAAAAAATGTGGGTTTAGTGTACTTTTTTTTTTTAACCAAAAATGGGGGATTTTTTTTAAATCGGAGAAAACCAGGATCCCCGATATTCATTACGTACTGGTATTGTGCCATTAACCAGTTGTGTGCCATCAGCTCCGCACCTGGGGCTGGTGTCAATGCACTGTGCGTCACACGAGGTGTTTGCACCATGTGTGTAACACAGGTGGGCAAAATGTGGCCCGCAGGCCTGCCACACCATTTATCCAGCCTATGGGGCCCCTAAAAATTTTAGAAAATTAATATTTATCTGCCCCCAGCCACCTGTCATGCAGCCCTCGATGGTTTGCCAAAGCTCAGTAAGCAGCCCTCCACCCGAAACAATTGCACGCCCCTGTGTAATGTGTAGCAGGGGCCGCAGACACTTGTACTCTTTGCACGGACAAGGCCCTGGAGCAGCAGAAAGCAAGCAAGGAAGACTGCACTTCTGAAGGAGGCATATGAACATGCAAAGCTCAGTTGCAGCTGCAAGAGACTTAAGATGGGTGCTTAGAGCTTGACATTTTTTTCTGACATGGTTTAGGGCCCAGAGCAAAAAGCAGACACAGGGTATACCGTATTAGGGGCAGTCTTTCCTCCTCTGCTAATTACCCCGCTTATTAACTTTACATGAAATAGTCAGCACTTGCAGGACGACTGGTGGCATCCATTGCTTTTGGTTGGGTTCAGGGCAAGCTCTTCAAGCAGGCATTTGACTGAACCCTTACCACAGGCTTTTCTTGGTGGCAATCAGAAGTGGCATTCATTCAGAACCCAGTGCACAGAGAGAACAGGACTCAAAATATGAAAACCCTGCCCAAAATATGTTTCTTCTTCAGTTTTTCACTCCAGTAGTTGAAACCAGGGATGTTAGACTCACAATGGAGGTCTGGTCCAGATCTGGACTGTAGGGCCTCCTCCTAGGCTGGATCCATGGTGAGGGTAGCAAACGGTGGTGGGTCTACAGGTAGGTAGCAGCACAGAGCCACAATCAGGCAACAACACATGTCCAGCAGTGCGTGATAGTGTGGAGCTGGGTTTGCGCAGCAGCATGCATCTGGGGACAGACAGGCAGCAGTGCAGAGCCATGTTCACACAGCAGCACATCCAGGGGTGTGTGGCAGTGCAGACTGGCATGCACCAACAGCATGGGTCTAGGGGCACGCAGCAGAGAACCATGTTTGTAAAGCAAAACATGTCCAGGGATGTGCAGCAGTACAGCCCCACATTCAGGTGGCAGTGCAGGTCTATGAGGCTGCTGCCAGCAGTCATGTCCATCAGGGTCCAGGAGCCTTGAATTTTATGATGGGACATGCCACCCAACTTTTGGTAGCCTCCAGACTACCAGTAGGCCAGCTGGGACAGTTCTGTAGGTTGATTCAGCCTAGAGGCCATGTTTGACACTGGTGATCTAAACCTTCACCCCAATTTCCACCTCTGCATATCCCACAGCTCCTTCCCTTCAGAAGTAAGCCCTATAGTCTCCATTTTATAACAGGCATATCTAAACCACCCACAAGAGAGAGAAGAAGCTAGGTATACTGCATGTTTTAAAGGATAAAAGAAACACCATCCATTCAAAGGTGTTTAAGTTGGAGCCCAAGCACACCTGTGAGGAGCAAGCCCAATTTTATCAAGTGCAATCAATGTTTATCTGAAAGAATTAATCCCCAGCTGCAGATTTGTGTTGCAAAAAATCTAGTCATAAGGCTGTGAAACAAAACCTCAACAGTAAGGAACAACTGATGCAGCCATATCCTCCTGGTGCTCCTATGGGAAAGACAGCTGGAAACTGTAATTCAGAGCTATAAATTAGCATCCCACTAAGAATGGGACAGTTTTAAACAACTGTAATTTCCAAACAACCAGCTAATGTACTTTTCTATCATTGTTGGACCAATGGGGCAGGGCAGCTAAGTATTAGGGCAACAGTGCCAGAACTTTACATGTATGACTACAAATACAAGAACGTTGTACTGCTCACAAGGGAGGAGAAATGGGAGATACATCTGAAACCCATTGTAAGAAGTGTTCAGTTGCCTCAGGGCTACAAAAAAAAAAAAAAATCTCAAGGCTAATGCCAAGAGCATGAACTGCTGCACTCCCAAATTGTAGACAGCTGCTGCAGGAACCCTCCAAAACATACAGCAGAGTATCACCACAGAATAAGCTGGAACTTCGTGGTTTATATCCTCCAGAACAGCCAAGGTAACTCTTGGTATTTTCATCTTGAAATCTGCCAAAAAGACAAATTTTCAGTTTATTTTCAGCTGCTATAAGCTAGCTAGACTGCAGCAAGACAGGACAAACTAGATTCCTGCCACTGAGTATAGGTCATATTTGTCACATACCCGAAGCTTTACACTACAACCTTGTTGAGACAGCAAAACATTAACTAACACTCACACTTCCTGCTTTTATTGCTATATTCCTTATGTCTATACATATACCTTACTCCTCCATTGTTGTTTGTGGCTACAAGCTAATAGACTATAACCACTTGAAAAAGTGTTTCCACTCTAATGTTTCTACACAAGGTGTGTAGACCCATCAGAGAAAGGTAACCAAAATGATCAGGGGTATGGAACAGTTGTCATACCAGGAGACAACCCTAGAACTAGAGGGGGAGCCACTGAAATTAGCAGGAGCCAGGTTTAAAGCTGACAAGAGAAAGTAGTTTTACTCAGTGCATACTTAACTTACAGAACTTGTTACTACAGGAGGTTCTAAGAGGCAGATAGTACAGCCAGGTTCAAAAAGGGACTCAACAAATTTGTGGACAACAGCCATTAAACAGAACATTTAGAGATGTTTCCTCTGGTATCTCTAAACACAGGCTAAGCTGCCAGGAGCCACACCAGAGGGAACCACGCATAAGCTACACCAGCACAGGCCACAGCTACACTATTGTAGCACCACCTCCCCTTCCCCAAATGCATTATGCCAAGCAGACACCCCAGCACCCCAATTATGAACTTCCCCCATACTACTGTGCTGCGTTGTCCTGCCCCACCTCACAGGACAGGGGCAACAAGTGGAAGGCAGAGGAAGAAGAGGGAGCCTGCAAACCAACCACAGTGATTGTGGGGGTGGGGAGAGAGAAGGGAAGTGACAGACAGGTGGGAACACAGGGGGTGTGTGTTAATCCCTTGTGGGCTACCAGTTGGACAGCTCTGCTCTAAACCAAAGGTAGCTTATGCTAGAGGCTAATGAATGGGATCACTCTGAACGTACCTAGTTCAGTGCTCTCCCTCTAAAACATTCACTGCGGCCTCTGGCAGAGACAGGATACTGGGCTACATGGACCATTGGTATGATACCATATGGCACTTACATGCTTATGCTGTTGCTGATCATACAGTAAGGTTTTTCCATACAGCCACACGTGCTTTCCACTCCCCCCTGGGTAAAGAGCACTTACCTACTTTATTGCATACAAATGTGTAAATAATGGAATGGAAGTGGCATGGGATAGTGCCCCCATAAATGCTCATTCAGCCAAGAAAGCCATAGTTCTTCGAACTAGAAGTATTCTTAAGCCTGATGAATTTGTCCTTAGGACTTACCTGTGCAAAGCAGCAGAATCATACTAAGCTTTCCTCCACTTCTGCTACACAGACACAAAGCAGTAGTAATGTGTGAAGACAGTTTTCATATAAAAGGCACCTTCCTTACTTACTGAAAGAGAATGAAGCAGTAAGCCTCTGAAATAATTTTGCATGTTGCCATGAGAAGAAAATGAGTTGCATAAATTCAGTTTAATCAGGAGGTGAGGAAATAAGCTTGGCTATCCAGAGGCTGTAGGTTTTTAAACTGTGCCCTACAAGGCTTAAACAAAGTCCTTTTACATTAAAAGAATAGTGAGTCATAGACAGCCTGAGGAAAGACTGCAGTGAGGAAGGAGCAGCATTAAGCTGGAGGCACCTTCTTAGGGTCTGAAAAAGACTCAGACTTCTGCCATGGTGCTGCAGCCCCGAGTCTCACAACACCTGGGTCTCTTCCCAGACACTGAAAGCCCCTGGTCCGGCACTGTAGCCACTGGCCAGGCCGCTCTCTTTCTCTCTCATCTTCTGTCCATCTAACCCTCTTGCTTCCCCTCCCTGGAAGCCTTTTAACTTCCCGTGGCTGCTAATCATCTCCCTCAGCTGGCCTAGTCCTCCTGAGCAGCCTGCTCTATGGCTATAAAGAGCATGCTGACAAACCATGCTCCAAAACAGGGTCTAAAAAAAGCAGCGTTCATTTTTATTCTCTCCTTGAGTATGGCGACTCATACTGGTTAGTGATGCATACATATTTTCTAATAAAAACTAGTTGTATTTCATCCTTGCCATGTGAACAATTCTGGACAAGCTGATAGGTAAAGCAGGAGCACTCTAAATCTAAATGATATTGCTTTGTAAACTTAAACATCTGGAAGGATACACATTCCCTTCCCCAACCCCTTTGGACTTTCTACCACTGCTGTGATATTTTAGCCTCAATAAGAAATAGTCCAAGATTTCTTACTAGTTTTCTACCTCCAGATTAAGCGGATGTCTGTTTCTTCTCCTCCCATCCCTAGTAAATAAGCAGCCTGTTTGCAAGGCACTGCAATTTTACCGTCCAGCACAGACTCTGAAGTTGCTTTTCTGTTTTAAAGCTTGAAAAACCAAGACTGGTTTTCATAAAAATACCAGGACATTCAAAGATATCACATGTTAAGTATTTAAGGGTGGTCAAGTTTAGAGATGAATATGGAGGATTCTATTTTATTTGAGCCAATTCTTACATTCTAGAAACAGTGTATGCTTAAGGCAGCTTTTCCTGGTCTTAAATATCCCTGCTGCAGTAGGAAAAAAAGTTAGTTAAAATGCACTTGGTCTATTTTCTCCAATAAGACTCCAGTATCTCAGACTATTATTAAACAGAAGCATAATTAATGTGCCAGTTGCATCTATGCAGTCACCATACTAGATTAAATTGCTTCACAGCCAGCAATAAAATAATTTTCTTTTTAAATACCAATTGTTTATACCGACAGTTATTCCAATAGGCATAAACAGTATTTAGAAATTTGGGAGTGTGAAGTTGAGAGAGAAGTCTGGGAGTACTTTGCAGGCTAAAAACTAGATGTCTCCTCAGCTTTTGGTAAGTGGTAGCTCAAGGAAGCAGTCAAAAAGCCACATCCTTTTGAAGAGTTATGGCAGTTTTGGGGGGTTTTTTTGGAAACACCCTGCACATTCCTCAATAAGGACATAACTGACCATAAAACACATTTCTTCTGATGTCATTTTGTACCATTTAGTGACTAAGTCCCCACCCCAATCTGTATATTAACCAGCTGAAGTGATTTTAGAGAGCATCCAAAATTAAATAAACAACAAAGTGTCCACTTTTGCAACAGCCTTGAGACCGACTTCTGCAATATCCGTAGAGAGGTTCTTCAGACTCCTGAAGTGTCAAGTCATTCACCGTCCATGAAAACACCCTTAAGTATTTTTGGCTACAAAACAGCTAACTGCAGTTGAAAACAGTTTTTTTTTCCACCCCTTTAAGCCATTAAACAATATATGGTGAAATTAAAAGAGCTATACCATCAAATAGACAAACTTGGAAGAAGTGCAATGATTTTTCCCACTGCTACAACTATGCAACAAAGGTAAAACTCTTCAGTTTGTTCTCCCCATTTCATTGTAGCTGAAACAGTTGGTACCTGCTAGCATTATTCACTATAGACTTTAAATACAGGATTTTGCATTGGAAAGGACTAGCAGATCTTCCCAGACCTAACAATCATTGGTTTATGTTATTCTGTTAAAAATCCAACAGTGCAAGACAAGATGGTCACAACAGACTAAATAGAGTAGCTCCCACCAAAGTGTACAGCACCATACATTTAGGGAAAAAAACTTTTGACATTATATCAGTTAAAGGAATGCCATTCTTCAGTCTGCCTTTACAAAATCAGGACTGAAATAATGCTATGCCAAACACCAACCTACTTTCAAGAGAGAACTAGGAACATTGATAAATGCTGCAGACATCAGTAGTTTATTGGTATGTTTAGTCAGAACACATTCAAAATGGAAACTTAAAAGTAAAAATACTTTCCACCTGCAACAATTAACTAGATTCTACTAGCATATAATGCTTAACACATTACAGCAATAAAGATGGTAATCCACTGTCTTTTATACCTACTAAAGCCAAAGATGGTAAGCCAAGTTTGTTGAAATAGGATTGTAATGAAAGAATACCACCATCAACAAAATCAGCAACTAACAGTAATGGTCAGTGAATCTTGTTACTTCGCTTTAAGAGGTACGTTTACTGAAAGAGGGACAAGAACATTAAGAGTCCACAGTACAGTAGGTGAACAATCACCATGTAAACTTCTCTGTATGATGTTTCAATATTTTTTTTTATTTCATGGCATTTAAACAAGAAGCAAGCCAGAATGCTGATTGGCTCAGTAGTTCTTCTAATCATTAATTTCATTTTTTGCAATTACTCCCAGTGCCATTTGCCATAACAATTTAGAAGGTGATAGGGCAATACCATAGCACTAAAAATTTAAAAAGCTACAATGAACACTGGTGGCAAACTGCTAAGTGAAGCAGCAGTTTGACTAAAGGCTTCAAACGTAAGTCAAGTCATGTTTCATGGAGTTCAAGTACTATATATTTCCAGGTAACATCTGAAAAAAATGCAAAAGCTTAACAAAAAAAAGGTAAATATAAAAAAATGGAAACTGAGAAATGTGTCCCGGAAAAAATGTATGAAAATAGTGCAAGACTTACCATCAAACAAGGAAGACCTCAAGTTTGGTGGAAAACAAACAGATGCATTCTCACTTTGCCTAACACATCAGAAACAAACATGTGCAATATCTTCCCGCTCACTAGAAAAAAGCAAATGGTTGCATAATCTAGAAACAGACTGGTACTGTGCCATCGCTGTTTTTGTTAACAATCGTAATGTAATGAGGTCTTCCATGCTCAGAAGCAGCTTTAAGTGGTCACACTTTCACCCTTACCCCTGCCCCCCAACTCCTGAAGCATTCAGAGCTTGGTGCATGTCAATTTCTCCAGAACAGAGCTGGATACTATTGTCTGCTACTTTTGCAGTTTATTGAAATGTGCTATCTAGGCAGACAGTAATCCAGAAATAGTAAACTTCTTATATTTAGAAATATAAGTGTCAGAGGATGCCTTCTCCCTACTGTTAAAATTCAGAGCTGCATGGGTGTTGAATCAGTTCAAAGATATGTGCAAATGAAGAGAGCAAAAAAACTGGAAAATGCAAATACTTAGAGCTGCTCCTTCTATGCTCTGAAAATCGCAGTATCCTCATTTAACAAACTTGCCCTCAATCTACAGAGCTGAGCACACTTTAGAAATTGGCAGAAATATACATAGAATTCTCAACTGACTTTTGAAATGTCTGACTGAGATTTCATCCCTTTCCCATCTTTCATATTAATCGAAGAGGAGAGGCAACCTGGACACTATTCAGATGCCTTCCTTCCTCCCTTCCCCTCTCCACAAAAAAACATACAAAGTTGTTAAATTGAAGAGCAAGGTGAATCATATTCTAGCAACTTTCACTGACTTAAAAAGATACCGCAATTTTTATACAATTGTTCAATTATTTCTTTTAAACAGTTGTTGCAGCCATTTGGCTTTGCAGAACAGTAATTCATACACTCTACTGTACAAAATCACCAGCAAGACTGGAATGATGTATTAATAGAAGGCACCATCATGCTTATTACATTACCAGAGAACTCAAATACAGGAAAGACTATTTCCACTGTACAATGCTTAAAGAAGGGAAAGGAGAGGAGGAGTGTGTTGAGCAGCCAGCCATCCCTGTACTGAAGAGGGGCAAATAGAAAAATCTTAAATATGAGCTATCAAACTTGTTTAGTACTCAGGACCATAACTCTGGAGTTCTGGATTGTGTTTAGTTTACAACTAAGTGGTTTCCTTCTGGAATACGTTTATAGTCTTGTTAAGGTTTGTGTGTGTACATAAGTTGGTCACAGCAAGCAGATCAGATGCCCGCATCATTTCACAAGCTATTCTGTCTGAATAACAGGATGAAGAATATTTTTCCTGATGCCTCCTGCAGATGTCAATGTAAATGAGTTCAAAGTACCCATTAGTGCATTTTGATGAGTGCATAAACACAAGTTTGTTTCATTTGTTTTCGAGCCAAGTGTTCTAAAAAGAAAAAAGGCAAGCTTCTTCAAATTGCACAGATTGCACTATTTGCGTTTCCAACAGTAATAGGCAGAAACAGTAACACTTACACAAAATGTGCAGCAGAGGGTTTTTGACTGAAAGGACCTGAAATCGATTGGGCATGTCCTTTAGTCCACTTTTGTTGCAGATAGTTTAATGGTCATTTCTCAGTCCTTAATTTTGAAAGTCTAAATTTATAAATTAACAGTGTGACTCCTGTTGTGAAACTGGGGAAAGAATGTCCACCTCAATTTAAGTGGAAACCAAAGGATGCTTTTCACATCAAAGAAATGATCAAAAAGGCTGTGTCACATTCCAAAGCCAAAAAAATTAACAAGAATGCAAACACGACGAATAATGTACCACTGCCGAGACCGTCTGCCAGCAGCAGGGATGTTCAGCGACGCTGTCCTGTGAAACGACCTTCCATTTGCCCGGTTCCTCTTCCAGAACCAAGTTTCTGTGCCATGCCACCTCTGGGAGGAGGTCCTCTTCCATCACGGTCTCGCATCATTCCACCACCCACTATTCCACGGGGGCCCCCTGGACCTCTATCATTGCGTCGAATATCCCTACGATCATCGCCACCACCTCGGGTCTCTCTTTCACGAGCAGCTCTTGTTTTTTTCTCTTCTACATTCAAGCGTACCTCACCGCGGAACATAATAGGCTTAAAGGGGAAAGCGTTTACAAAGCAAAAATTAATCATCATTCCTTAAAATGTATGCTATACAAGTTGTATGCAAGTCCTATCCTCTTTACCTTGCACTTAACAGTGACCCTGTACATATGCTAAGAACAGGATTCATATAGTTCTTCAGGACACACACGGCTAGAGATCTAAGCCCATTACCAGTGCAAATATTATATATCTATAATGCCACAATGAATTAAAGTGTATATGGAGCTAAGGTCCAGAACCTAGCAGTCAGTCCTGGGATACTGCCCCTGATGCAAGCAATGTTAGCATTCTCTGAAAACTTGCCCTCTCTCTAAGCAACTAAACATTAGTTGAAATACTAAACATTAAGAGTGTAGTTTCCTTACTCCCAATTCTAATCTTTCAGTTCCAATTTCACTTGATCCCTAATACATACATCTCCACTTGCTCCACATACACCCCTAATCTATGATTTATTGATGAAATTAGTGCCACTCAAGCCTGGGAAATTTTAACTTGCAAGGATTCTTCTCCAAGAGTACAGAAGGTACTGAAGAAGTGAGGAACCTGAACAAGTCATAATAATAAACTGGAGGTCTAATATAGCCCATGCTGGGTAGAAGCACATTGTTAGAAGCAAGTGTTTCTTTTTCAAGCACACTCTTAACCAGCCGTCAGAAAGGAAAACTGTGACCTCTGGTAAAGAGCAGCAAGAACCTAGAACATCACATATTGCTTGTAATTAACTGCCATCTATCCCCAGGATAAACAAACCAATGCTATGTGGCTATACTTACTTTTGCAACAAGGATTCTTTGAACCGGTTCAGAGTCATCAAACACCACAAAACCAAAGTTTGGCAGCTTCCCCCCAACTCCTTTAGTATTAATGCGAAGTTCCACTACATTTCCAAAGCCTATTAAGAAAAAAAAAAAAGAAGCACATACAGAAGAAAAACTCCATGCAAACCTTATGTTGTAGGTCAAGGAATAAACCACTTTGTTTTGGATGTATTTAAAAGAAGTCTCTTGTAACGTTGCTTTACATAAAACAAAAAAACCCAAAACTTTGCTATTAAGCAAGCACATTCAGAGGTTTAAGTTTTACTTCTAGCTTCAATCCCAGGAGCTGAATTTCAAACAATTTAAAAAACATCACTTACTCATGAAGAATTCTTTCAATTCATTCTCATCAATATCGTGCGGCAAGTTGCCAACAAACAGCTGATGGCTGTCCGGGTAACGAATTATTCTGCGATTATCTGATTCATTCTGCTCCATGTCCCCTCTACCTGCATTCATAAACATAAGAAAAAACAAAGTACTATCAGTTTTAGGCAATGGGGGAAAAAACCAACTGTAGCACATCTAACATTACTCATCAGCTTTCAAGTTATTCACTCAACCATTTCCAGACCCTTGGTCTTCAACTTCTGTTCTGGAAAAGCTTGATTAGCCAATGCCATTAACATCACTAATTAGGAAAATGCAAATCAATTGTTAAAAACAGTCCTTTCATTATGTACAAGTCACACTACATGCTTCATTTTTTCGTCTTAATGTATTTTTTGTGGAAGGTGCTAAATTGAAACCATGTAAACGTAAGAACATAACCTAACCTATCAGCAACATTAAAACATACAGCTTATAACTGCAAATCCTCTATCTCCAAATTCCCATTAGCAGCAATTGCCAACCACATCAGATCATTTACATATAGAACACGCATCTCCTTTACATTTAGAAATGTAAGCTATTCACTCTGCTTTCCAAGTGAAACATAGTATGTGCAAAAACATTTTAAAGCATTAGCTTAACTAGCAACACTCAGGAGCATCTAATAAGGCGTATTAAGACTTATGAACATTATTTGCAATTTAGAGTTTCAAAAATTCGGCACCTAATTCAGTTTAAACATTAATTGGCTAGAGACAATATTTCTAGCACTTTTAAATAAACAGTTCCTCTTCACTTGCTGTACATTCCTAAAAGGTTTTTGTACATTTTCCATAATTCCTTCTGATTGTTCTTTCTCCTTGACTGGTCAAAGGGAGAGAGAAGAGCTTAAGAGAACTTTAAACTGTTTAGTACCAATGGCCAGACTGCCTTAACATTTTTCCATTTTAACTCTGCTGCTTTATACACAAATTCTTAACTGCTGGACTGTTTAAAAGGTACAAACCCTTCTGTAGGAAGGCTTGCTGAAGTTACCTATCTCCCAGCTCAGACAGGATCGCTACAATGCCATTTCCTGCCTGCTGTAAAAGTTTTTTTCTCCTTACTGCCATTGGTACAAATCTTTACCTTTACAATAGGCAATACAAGATCTTACCCTGCATTGCAATAATATCAAGTCCTTGTCTGGCAATCTCTCTTATATGACACTGTACCACATTTTTTCTTCTTTTGCCTTTTCTTTTTTAATTCATCATACTCCAATGCAATTCCCGCCCCTCCTCCAGTCTGCTGTACAGATACCTGCTGAATGGCTGTAGGATTTCTCCACACAGATTACATGGGTGATAGAGAATGGCATGCAAGAGCAGCCAGATAAGCTCTAGTAAATTAAGCAACTTCTTAGCTATTAGCAATACAGTATTCATTCAGACAAGAATTCTTGATGCTGTCCTTTTTAAGGTCTATTTTTCCCCACATTAAAATATCTTTTCAGAGGCCTGCCTAATATCTCTCTGCTAACATTATTCTCTCAATTTGCATTAATTAAAAAAAACCCCAAAAAACCTGATTGTCGCAAATAATAATGGCTTTGGCTTACTTCAATATTAATATCTCACCAAAAGCCACAATGGCATCTGGAATTGTGTATGCTGATTCAGGCATGAGAAGTTAAAACAGCACCAAATAATTCATACAAACAGGGGTAATTTATCAAGCCTCTTAATGCATCAGTTTATGCAATATACTTGCTCTTAAAAACCTCTAAGGATGAAAGAACTCCAGTTTCTCTAGGCAGCCTGATCCAATGTCTGACCACCCTCCTAGTCATGAAGCTCCTCCTAATCTCCAATCTAAATTTCCCCTGCTGCAACTGGAGGCCATTGCTCCTAGTCCTGTCTCCTATGGTCACAGAAGAAAGCCCACCTGCATCCTCTCTGTAATTGTTCTTCAAGTATTTGAAGACTTAACAAACCCATCCCTCCACCCCCGTCTTCTCTTCTTCTGACTAAAACTATTCTAGTTCTTTCAGCCTTCTTTCATAAGTTTTGTCGCTGAGGCCCCTAATCACTTTTTGCTGCTCTGCACTGGACTCTTTCCAAACTATCCACATCCTTCTTGGTAGTGTGGGGCCCAAAACTGGACACAGTACTGCAGGCAATGCCTCAGCAGCATGGAATAGAGTGGAAGAATCATTTTCCTTGATTTCCAAGTGACACTCGAGACATTCTAGAAAGCAGTCACCCTCTATGGCGGTACCACAATGTGTGCAAAAATTATGTGAAGTCATTCAACATCAATGTAGAAAGCTGGGAGGAACACGCAGAATCCCATCTAATCTGGAGGGAACTTCTGACACTGGGTACAACTCAATATGAAGTGCCTTTAATCCAGAAGATAGAAGCAAAGTGAGAAAGAAGAAAGCAGCATCCTGTAAACTTGGACTCCAACTCAGACAACACATGAATCTGTGAAACTTGTAACAAGCTGTGTCGCTTTCAAATTGGGTTTGTCAGGTCACAAATGGATTCATCAGGCATCTGGACTAGACCTCTTACATGTACACGATGATCCAGAGGACTGACAGTTGCCTACTAGTCCCTTTAATACAACCCAGTATGCTGTTGCCTTTTTTTGTTTTGCAACAAAAGCAGACTGTTGGTTCATATTCAGCTTAGAGTCTACTGTAACCCGCAAGTCTCTCTCTGTAACCAGTCATTCCCCAATCTGTATTTGTGCATGCAACTATTCCATCGCAAGTGCAAGAATTTGCATCTGTCCTCCTTGAATTTCATCTGGTTGATTTCAGTCTATCCAGGTCATTCAGGATCCTAGCCCTACCTACCCTCCAGAGTATCTGCAACTTCACTCAATTTGGTGCTGTTCACAAATTTGCAAATTGTGCACTCAATCCTATCATCCAAATCGTTAAGGAAGACATTAAACAATATGGGACCCAGGACAGGAACTCCACTTGCTACATCCTCCCAACAAGACACTGGAGCCATTGAGTCTCATGATCCAACTAGTCATGTGTCCATCTTACGGTTTTTGTCTAATCTGTATATCCTTAGCTTGTTAGTGAGAATGTTGTGAGAGAGTGTCATAAACCTCGCTAAGTGAAGATATAATCACATCCACTGTTCTCCCCCAAAGCCTGTCACCTTATCATAGAAGGAAATCAGACTGATCAAGCATCACTTGCTCTTGATGAATCCATGCTAGTTGTTCCTGCTTACCCTGTTCTCCTCTAGATGTCTCACAACAGACTTCCTGAGGGAGGACATGCTCCATATTTCCAGATATCAAGGTCAGGTTGACTGGTTTGGAGTTCCCAGCATCCTCTTCCTTCCTTTCCTTAGAGGTGGGCACTGTATTTGCCCTTTTTCAGTCACCCAGGACTTCATCCAACATCTACACATTACCTATCCTCTTTTAAAGAATCACTCCAAGATTATCTCAGACAATTCCTTCAGTACCTTAGGATGCATCCCATCTCGTCCTGCCAGCCTGAATACATCTAGCTTTCCTAAGTTATAGCTCACCTGTTTACTGCACTATGCTGTTTATCTCCTTTCCTATCTTTACTACCAACTGCACTTGTCATCTGGTAGCTGCCCTTATTTGTGAAGGCTGAATATAAAGAGGCATTAAACACTTCAGCCTGCCTTGACTGACTGTGACTAGACTGCCTTTTGCATGGGACCTATGGTTTTTCTGGTCTTCTCTCTCTCTCTAAAGCATTGTCTTTATATCCCTTGCTTCTCAAATTGTTCCTTGGCCTTCTTAATTTTCTCTCTGCACACCTGTGCCATACTTTTGTATTCTTCTTTACTACCATGACCAAGTTTCCACTTTTAATGGGAATTCTTTCCAAGTTTCCATTCACTTAAAAGACTTCTGTCTAGGCAGGCTGGACCACTGCTGCACTTAACATGCTTTCATCACTTTAGAACAACCTGCTCCTGAACCCTTAAGAGAACCTCCTTAAAAGTACAGCCAACTCTCCTCAACTCTATTTCCTCTTTAGACTTTCCTCCCAAGGGATCCTGCTCACCAATTCCCAGAGCTTGTTGAGGTCTGCTTTTTGGAAATTAAATATTGTTTATTCTGCTGCTTTCCTTCCTTCCTCCCTCTGCTTTGGATTTTGCTTCATCATTTCATGGTCACTGTCACCTGCTACCTTGCACCTTCACACAGTCTCAACCAATTGAAAATTCCTGGAATCCAGGAATTTGCTGGACTTCTTCCTCATCAGGTGTCCCAATAAGTAAAGTCCCCCATGAGAACCAAATCCTGCAATTTGGAAACTTCTGTCAGTTGTTTAAAGAAGGCCTCATATCAAGCTTTTCCTGGTTTGGTGGTCTGTAGCAGATGCGCACCATAACATTCTCCCTGCTATTCTCCCCTCTGATCTTTACTCAGAGGCTTTCAATAGGCCTACTTTCCACTACGTGCTGCACCTCTGAACACGTGTGCATCACCTTTATATGGGACAACACCTCCTCCTTTTTGCCCTGCCAATCCTTCCTAAACAAATTATACCCATCCGTAACCATAGCTGTCATGTGAATTTTCCTACTGTATCTCCCTAATCCCAACTACATCATAATTCTGTGCTTCTATTAGGACCTCCAATCTTCCCCATACTTCTTGCATTAGTATATAAACATTTTGGGCACCTGACTGTTCTACCATCTCCCAGACAGCATTGGTAAGGCTTTCATTATTTCTTACCCTTACTTTTTATCCAGATCTCACGCCCTTTAAACTTTTTGTCTCCATTCCCTGGTGAACCTAGTTTAAAGCCCTCCTCACTAGATCAGCAAGTCTGCGTGAGACAGACTTCCCTCTCTGTCAGATGGACCCTCATCTCTTTCCTGCAGTTTATCTTTCCAAAATGCCACCCCACAGACAAAGCCAAAGCCCTGCTGACAACATCATCTACACAGCTGCATGCTGATCTCCTTTACCTTGGACTGGAAGGATTGATGAGAACACCACCTGGGCTTCCATCTCCCTCATCCATGCCCTCAAAGCCTCAGTCATTTTTAGGGGTATACTGATAAAGATTTTTTGGCTGATATTGATGGCCAATTATTAACCAGCCATACTGGCCGACACTGATCAGATTGCCGATATGCAGCCTGGCAGCTTGGAGGGTGTCTGGCCAGCAAGTCTGTTCCTCTCCCAAGCAGGACTCCCGCTTAGACCCCTGTTTGCTGGTCCTGTGCTGCTTCATTATCGTGTTGTTGACTTCAGCCCAATACAGCTAACCACCAACCCTAAAACTTTGTTGTATCCAAGTCTGAGAACAGAAGAAAGCCAATTCATAAACAGAAGAAACTTAAGTTATGAAGGCTAGCTCTCACTGAGTCTGAGTAACATGCATCTAAGCCAGTTTGTGAACTGTCATCTGCTTTACTAGCACTTAGATAGTATTATTTTTAAACCATTAAAAAGAAAAGTCTTGGGGATAAGGCTCTAAAACTATCAGCAACAGCTAGCTCAGGGCCTTGGATCAGAAATTGTTTTCCCACATTGTATAACTGTCATCTAAGCAATATAGGTCGAGTAATTTTAGTTGATCTTGGCTAAAACATGAATTTAGGATGAATAATGTGACAGAATTTCACTTTTGGATATTCCTCCATATTATTAGAGTACAGCTCTCGCAACCCCAAGTACAACTAGAACAAGTTACCTACAAACTGAAACATTAAAGGATTTGTGCACATTAAGCATCCTCAAATTAGCTGCAGAATCTCATCCTCCACCCCCGAATTAGTATTGAAGTCATTTTACCTGGTCTTGGCCCTCTTGGTGGAAACCCTGGTCTCTCTCTTGGACGCTGCTCACGCACACGGGGAGGCTGAGACTGAGCTTCAGGTTTAGTTTCAACTCTTGGCTGAAACAGGAGAACACAAACACTGTTAAACACTATTTACTAAAAGAAAGGCTGAAGTAAATGCAGCCCCCAGATCACTGGCATGCATAACATTTCTGAAAAATAAGGATCCATATATAGCATGTTTCTTTAAGTTCCTCTGTACCAATCCAGGACTGTAGAATTTGTTTTCCTCTGCCAGCCAGTAAAGAACACAAACCTCTGAAACACAATTTTTGGCCCAACAGCATGGAGAAGTCATGCCCAATCAGAGAACAAATCAAAACCAAAATAGGCCCAGAGATTTTAAAATATGAAAATTTGAAAACCGATCCACAAATATGCAAATCAAAACAAAAATGGAAGTTTCTGCAGCATTCCCTGTGCCGATCTTGGACTGCAAGAACTAGCAGGAAGTCCCACATTAAAACATACTGAAACAAGAGCTACGTTTACTAATTGCCTGGAAAATTCTTCTAGTAAATACCCATGAACTGAAAGGTAACAGTGAGGCAGGACTGAGAAAACAAAACGCTTCACACGCCTGCATGCAGACTTCTAAGGGCTACTTAAAGTGTAACTAGCCTAAGTACTCTGAGAAAGCAGGCCTGAACATCCTCACTTTCTATATGACTGCTATGTATAAGGACAATGATTCTCCCACAAATATGTAATTGAAGTCCTCAAGGAGAGTAACTAATTTTGCCCATAAAAGTATCAATGGACATCCAGGGGAGGAAACCACAGCATAAAAACCAGTTGATAACATTTTAAGATCACTGGTGTTAGTTTTTATAGTAATTTCTTGCATCTGAAGGTATTCAGTGCCCTTATACCAGGCAAACAAATGCTACCAAACACCATTTTTATTTTGGTGGGAACAAGAGAGCCATCTTCAGGGACCCAAAAGGTGAAACCTACATCTAAACTCCAGACAGTCATTTAAACAGCAGTCAAAAAAGCAGCTGATGTGCAGAAGAGATTCCACCACACCTCTTCTCCTTTGTTAATTCAAGACTATTGACATACATGCTCAGAGCACTTTACAGGAAAGACCTTAAATTAGATGAAGTGCCTCAATATTATACAACATCACATCCCGGTTTTATTGACACACAAACTAGAGTCGACCATCTCTCCAAAGACTATTTCAGGTACAAGAAAGAGGAAATCGGTCAAAAGTTTGTTCGAGTATATCAACAACTGGCTTCTTTTATTTATTTATTTATTTTTTAAACAACAACAACAACAAAAATCAGCTCCCCCCAGTGCCATAAGAGTACCATCAATTTCTTGCATCTGGAAGTCTTCAATTCCTTTATACCAGAAAAGCACATGCTACCAAACACCATTCTTATTTTGGAAAGAACACAAGAACCATCTTTGGGAACCCAAAAGATGAAAATATCTCTAAACTCCAGACAGTCATTTGGGATGACAGTTGTCCTGCTAGATGATAGGGATGTGAAAAGTTAAACTAGGGGTAGGCAACCCCTGGCACAGGTGCCAGTGTGGCACTGAAGGCATTTTGCTTGGCACGTGCCTCAGGGCAGACAGCAGGGAAGGGGCGGGGGCTGTGCCACCACAAGGATCGGGCCCCTCATGGCTACCCTGCTGTCTGCCCCTGACATGCTAATATCTTATAAGTAAGTCGAAGTTGCGGGTGGTATTGTCACTCTGACCAAAATCTTTGCTGACACCTAACGATTAAATTGCTTAACCGATAAGTGCAGTGATAACTGTTAACCTACTGGTTATCCTTTAGTTTAGGGCAGGCGCAGTCTGGCAGGAAAGGGGAAATGGAAGCTGCACGGTGCCCCAGAAGGAACCAGAAGACAGCAGGGCAGACAGGAGGGAGGGGGAGGAACGGAGAAGCAAAGAGAGGAGAGGAGAGAGGGAGTAGTATCCATAGCCTAAGAGGAAAATGGGAGCAGCCTAATGACTTATCCAATCAAGCAATTAACTGCTTCACAGGTACTCCTTCTCTCCCAGCACAGGACTTTATCTGGGCTGTTTTGTCTGGCTGGGCTTGCCTTCCCTCCCCCACCTTCCCCCAAAGGGCCCTGGGAGTTGGAGCAGCTCCCAACAGAAGCTGTTCCTGAGTTGCTGTGTTACTGGTTAATCATTCAACTGATATAATTAGAGGAGATTAAACAAATATTTTAGAACAATATTTACATCCCTACTAGATGACCTCCAGAGGTCCCTTCCAACCCTAATTTTCTACGATTTTCATCTTTTACTCTTGAAATTTTAATGCCTAGAAAGTAACATACCAAGGCAATGAGGTGCTTTAAGAGTCTCACTTTGCAAACATTAACTGCTGCTAGGCCTAGATTTTTACTCACTCAGTATACAAGCCACCCAACCATTATAAAAGCTTATAAAATTGTTCAACTTTATTTGAGCAGAGGAGGGAGAATACCAAAGCTTCATGCTATACAGCTTACCATTCAACTAAATACTTATATACCAAATAAGGTTCTTCTCTGCCCAAAGCAGAAGACAGCTTGCTCATCAGTTAGTTTGCTACTGGCACCCAATTCATAAGCATACCAAAGCCACCAGCCCTTTTCGGTAAAGAATGCAGACAGCCTCAGCTTCCTTCACTTTAGAATCACACAGCCAAATTTCCTAGGGCGCTGAAGCACGTCTACAGGCCAACAGTTCCAAATGGACTAGGTATTAATCTGAGAAACTTGCCTTTGAATTGACAGCTGCCACTTCCTTGTTACTGAGAGGCAGGTGAGCAGATCTCAGATACCTGTTTCAGAACGAGTGACAAGTGGGCATGGCATCCCGTCTTAAAACAAAGGAAGGTATGCCCCCCTCCCCTCCAAAAGCAGGTACTGCCAGAAACAAAAATACCAGCCATAAGATGCTGGACCAGTTGTGCATGGATTTTTCAGAGGATCAATATGCCTCTATTTTAGGTTCATGAAGATATGGCACAGGACCTCCTACTGCTATTGATATTGTCATCTTTAACACCTGAAGGGAAGAGAGTACAAGTAACTAGCCACAAGTGTTACCACCTCAAAGCTCGGGGTGGGAGGATTCCTTCAAGTTGTACGGTCCTACATGGACTACATTTACTTCGAAAGTTTGCCATCTCAGGAGGTTTAAGGTATTTCCTGGAAAGTGAGGGGCCTACTAAGTTGCCAGGAAGAACACACAACACAGTGCACAAATACTAGCGTCAAACTACAACAATGTTGTTGTCTCCAAGAGAACTGAGGATGAATCACTCATTTTGTTATTCAGAGAATGGGAAGACATAAGCCACAGCCCTTGACTTTCAGAAGTAATTTACGACTTCTGCAACATCCGGTTTTAAAACTAGCCACCGAGACAAACAAATGATAATTCATAAAGAACTAGCTAGCTTCTCAGGAGCAATACTAGTCCTGTATAGCAGACGCTCTCTCAAATGCTCATCCTTAGAACACCCAATAGTTACCCTTGCCCATATCTTTGGAAGGAAACAGTCAAGTCAGATTTGAGACAGCTTTCAAAGCTCAGTGCTGGAAACAAACTATTAGAATCTGTAGCAGTCAGTAGATTAGCTTGGAAATTGTGAGTTCAAAGACAAATGTACTGCTTTGCTTTATCAGAGAAAGGGGCAGTCACAGCATCCATCCAAGCAGAAGGTCAGCAATCAACACCAAAATACCTATCTAGTCTCATTACCTAGGCCTTGAATTTAATGATGTGAGTTTTTACTCTAGAGTACCTGATACATGAAAGCGAACCCAAAGCAAGACAACAAAAACAGAACATTTTAGTTTTATAATAGTGTAAAAACAGCAACGCCAGAACCATATATTCCTCTGCTTTGGTGAATTCCAAGTCTTCCTGTAGATAAGGTCTAGGGCAGCCTCCGGCCAACATTTTTCCCCACCATGGGTCTGGAAATCTGACAGCTGAGGAAGGATGGCAGTGTTAACTGTTGCAGCTCTGGAAGTTGTGGTAATTAATGCTGCCACTGCTGTCCCGCTGTCAAACTTCTGAAGCCATGGAAAGTCCTGCAGGTCAGATGACATGGCTTCAGATACCTGGCTGGCACACAGGGGTCCAGACTGGACCCACAATCTAACCCCACATTCCAACCTTGCCTGCAGGATCCAGCCTGTGGACCAATCCCACGCTACTCACCCAGCCCACCGGAATTGAAAGAGCTGAGCACTGCTGCTCTACATAGATATTGTTCAGTGTCTATTTCTGACCAGCAAGGTAGCAAATGGGGGGGAAAAAATGCCTAGGTACTATGGGCTAATATAATTAGCCTGTTGCTTGTTAATGAGCAGTAACTAATTGATCTAAACCAGGGGCAGGCAAAGTCCGGCCTACAGCAGACTCCATTTCCCAGCAGCCCTTACCCATGTCACTGCAGCTGGTTTCCATGGAGACCTCAGGAGCAGCAGAGCCACGGGCCAGGGTTTCCATGGAGAGCAGTCCCAGAAATGCTGGCAGGGCGCGCAGCTGGGCGGGGAGCTGCTCTGTGGCTGGGATCTTGCAGCAATGATACCATGGTCTGGAGCTGGGGCAGAGCTGCAATCCACTGCCTGCAGATCTGGCTAATAGGTTTGGGGTTGAGCATCCCTGGTCTAAACTTAAAATGGTGCTTATCCATTGCCTCAAAGTAGAGCTTACTTCACTGGTGCTTCATTTCCAATTAACAAGAAGTTGGAAGGGGACAATCTTAGGGACAGTGGGCGCGTCTACATGTTCAGTAATGCGCCCTTGCTACTGCGCATTAAATTTAGTACATCTAATATGAAGTATAAGATAAAGGCACAGTACCTGCGCTAATGTGCAGTAGCAAAGGCAGACGTTTTTGTGATGTTTAATGTGCAGTAGACTAATTCTACTGCACATTAAGGCATCTCGTGTAGATGTGCCCACCGTGACAGAAGAAACTACTTTGTGGGACTTTAAGTTCTTATTTTTTGGTATCCTGCAGGGGAGACTGTATGACAACATTTTCTTGGAAGTCTTAGAAGCAGCACTTAACTGAAAGAGACAGCAAAGTTCTAGTTGTGTATTACTACAGTCAGAGAAGATTACTTTTGTCAGTCAATACAGTTACAATGTCTGGTGACCATCTATTGTCAGATTTTCTGATACCACAGACAAGAAAAAGTATTGCCACTGCTAATTTGAAAAATCCTCCTGACCCTGTGTTTTCCACCAGTCCTCTGTGCATTGATTTTTAGTAAATACAGGCTGGGGAGAAATCTATCCAAGCACCCCCAAAGAGATAACAGAATTAAAACCTAGCCTTGAAAAGCCCAATCATTTCTATCTGAACACTTCTAAATCAGACAAATCCTACCAAAAGGATTCTAAACATTATTGCCAGAAAGCAGATCAAACTGTGTGAGATAACAGTGAAAGAACGGCCAAAAGGAAGATCGCAAGCTATACCTAATGGTCAGAGGTGTCTAAATAGTTCAAACTGTAGTTTATTGCTGCAGTGTTCCATCTCAACTGGAGCCAAAGCTGCACAGTCAAGCAGCTATAAGGTTCGCTACAGGATCATTAGTGTTTTTGGACACTTACACACAGTGAGTCTGCTCCAATACACTGGAAATCCAGCACAAAGTAGACTTGATTAATCAAGTCTACAGGAGCACGTAAACTGATGTGCCTGGCGCCACACTGGACACAGGTGTATAGGCAGCACAGTGTGTAATCAGCATTGAGAAAAAGGTGGGCAGCGTGCTTTGAACTAAAACACGTTTGATGTGCTTTAGTTCAAAGCGCACTGCTGCCATTCTCTCAGCTTTAACATGCGCTGCGCCACTTATACCCGTGTGTCCAATGCAGCGCCGAGCGCTTTTAATTAGCATGGTTCTCTAATTAAAAGCACCCAGTGCTGTGCCGAGAGCACGTGTAAAAATGCCCATTGTTCCTGTGCCAAATATTTGCCATCTTGACTGCATAAGTACCACCTGACTACTCAAAGCACATGTGAAGCAGAGTAAACCAACCAGGTTTTCACAGTCATTACAAAGAAGTAGCCTGATTTCCATGACAACCCTTTCAAAAACAAACCAGAATCACATAAGCATTTTATACGTGCAGTTGATTAACATCACCCTTCTGCTGATTTCCCCCAGACAGGAAAAAGGAAAGACATTAATGCAAAAACAGCAGCTGCAATAATTGTGCTAACTACTGTAGTACTGAAAATTGTGACCACTTAAGAAGTCAGAGAAGAACTACCACAATTGAGTGTAGGTAATAATTTGCAGAACATTACTGTTACTACTATTGAATTTTTAAGTGTTTTGGAATGTGTCAATTACATTTAAAGTGCAAGTTTCTCAGGGTGAGAAGTGCTCCTGGATTTCCCCAAAATCTGCTTCCACTACTTCAAACATAATGGAATGAGAAGAGATCATGGGGCTGGCAAGAAAAAGTGAAACCTCCCACCTCTCAAACAGTCATAATTTGGTACAGGGTTCTGTAACAGTTCATTTATATATGGATAACAGAGTTTAAACATTTTGGCAGCAATCAAACTCCCAAAGAAAGGCTCGCACCTTCTCACAAGGGAATTTCATTTCTGATTGGCAGAACTGGATTGGCAGTTCTGCCAATGAACCACCCTTTTTGCTCACACTACAACAGAGAAGGCTACCGTAATTTTTAAATAAAATAACCCAACAAGAATGTCAAAACATTTAAAAACAATTTCTTCAGTGCACGTGAACAAAACAAATTTCACCACCACCCAGATCTCACACCTGCTAAGTGCATGTACTTTTTCATTGTGACATAAGGTGTAGCGCATTTACATTTAAGTGAACTTGTGCAATTTAAGTCAATACAATTTGATCTCTTAGTTTAAAGACTAAAGCAGTTTGCAGAGGTAAATGAGACAATCCAACGTGTTCACAGATGGATTACCTGTGAGACTGGTGCTTTAACATGGGGTGGAATTCCAGAGGAAGAAACAGTACCACTAGGAGGCAGGTTTTTACTGGTCACTGAAGCCCAAGAGAAAGCCTGCAGGAAATGCAACAAACCTAGGCTACTAAACATGGCAAACCACTGACATTCCTAAAGGGAATTAGTCTGCTGGTTTTTTTCAGTTCAAAATCTAGGCAATTAGTAATCATCGTACCAGAACTATTAATATATTAAACATGCCAATAAAGAGATATAGAAGGCTTTGCAATGATAACAATCCAATTACTCCAATGGTACAGAGCAAGTACTGCAGTCAGGTACACTAACAGAATCCCAATTCTCTAAACGGCCCCAGAACACTGCTTGCCAGAAGTCAACAAATGGACAGGAACACAACCCTAACACTACAGGATGTTTGGTCCCAAGTTTGCCTGCTGAAGAAAGAAAGAAGTGGAAGCTGGAAGTGGAAGTTAAATAGAAAAAAAAGGCAGGGGAAGAAAAAAGCACTGGCAGCACTGGAGCTCCTAGCTGAAGTCTGAAAGCCACTCTACCCAGCTTCCATTTACTGCCCCCCATTTCTATGTGGCTCTAATCATACCAGACGGCGCGTAGTGTTTTGTGAATATGGCACCTGGCTAGTAAGATGACAGCTAAAACTCTCAGATTAACTTTTAAAGCTACACTGACAGTCAACCTGCAAGTAAAAATTCAAATTTCCTTTTTTTTTTTTTTTTTTTAAGGAAGGGCAGCAATTCCCATGTTTTACATATTTACGTAGATGTTATGTAAAAAACATTCACATTTCAGAAGGTTTATAACCCACATGCACTTCATAAGCAGATCTCATAGACTTAAATGGATCTTTAAAAAAAAGTTCAGCTATTGTAAAAGTTGTTCTACTTTTGAAGTTCTTACAGTAGGAGTTTGGGGGAAAAAAATCCATCAGTTTGACACAAGGCAATTTACATTAAGCATGAAACTGAGGCATCAATTCTGTGTATTAATATCTTTTAGACAGAGTTTACTTATAACTAACCTTTGGTGGTTCTTGTGGTAGAGAAACAGGTTCTGCAGGAGGTGGAGATGGAGACTTTTCTTCTAGCTCTTCAAGATTCTTTTCTTCTACTTCAGGTTTCAGCTCCTCAGCTTTTGTTTCAGATTCTAAATCTGGCTCAGGCTCGTGAGAGGATTCTTCCAAAGGTTCCTCTATTCCATTGCTACAAAAAACAAAACAAAAAAAGAAAAGCTCAGAACAATGAATTATCTTTTATTTTAGGAAAGTTGCCTAAATGTATAGCCATGATGTGTTCATGTTAATTTTGAGGCTTCTTGCTATCAAGTAATCCAATGCATTTACAGTACTGTCAGTATTTTTTTTTAACCAATACCTCTGGTTGAGCCAAAACTGAATCAAGTTCCTAGAGTTGGTAAAATTCATGATGACATGGGCTAAAATAAGAATTACCATATTTACTGAATATAGGACTACCCCCCAATAATTAGATTTTATATATGAAAAAATTTATATTCGTTATAATTTTCCAGGTATAGAATCTAATTATTTGAAGTTTGCCTTGAATTAGTCTCCTTCCCACTGCTACAGCGGGGAAAATAAATCGGGGAGACTACAAGAGTATGGCCCCCTGCCCCTCCCCCACCACTTCCCCTTGCAGCCCCTTCCCCCTCTCCTTACTGCTAGACCCTGCTCTACCTGAGCATATGAAAAAGTGAAGTGCACATTTGAAAACAGTGACCTCGAAATAATTGCAATAATTGTAAATTGTAACTGCAACTACTACAGGTAACCATAAGGCTTAGTTCATTCAGAATTGATGCATTTTACCGTTTTTGAAACTGCTCCAATGTTTAGCATAGGTACTCCATAAACACACTTTTAAACAGCATTTTTGTACTTACTTGCATATAGTTCAAACTATGCATGATATTAGTCCAAAGCCAAAAGGCTCATTTATCATATAGCTCATTGGACTGGGCCCCCAGCAGAGACAAGAGCATTTCAAGCGCTGGTGACCCCACAGCTCAGTGTGTGTACTCCAGATGCTCCACCCTGCACCCAGGAGCCATGCGGTAATTAGCCCCCATTCATGAGTGGAACTGGGTGTTCTTGTCATGAGTGCAAGGATCCTCCAAAAGTGTGTGCGCGTGCAGAGAAAAGAAAAAGCTACTTTTTTCATATTCCTGAAGCACAGATTTCAAGAACACCACCAAAAATCACGAGTCGGAAATACTGCATATGACCGGCTGAGAAAGGGGGCAACAAAGGAATTCTGGATGAGGTGTTGGGGACCCCATTTGGCGATTTAAGGCTAATGAAGAAAAAAGAATCATTAGAAATCAGAAAGAAAGTCACAGGTCAGCTGCAGGAGTGAAGGGGAAGTTGAAACGAATTCAATGTAGTGGCTCATCATGACCTGAAAGAGTTGGTGCTAAGGAAGACTGCATGAATGGGCATCTTAGTCAAATGGGCTTAACTAACCTATCCTTGTGGTAGTTCCCATCACCACTGAAAGCCTGATCAATGACTTAAAAGGCAAAGAACAGGATCAACAGAACGTCAGGATACAAGGAATGAAGGAGAGAGACCCAAGCTCAAAACAGTAGCAGTGGTGGCAATTAAGCATGAGGTAGAAAAAGAGCTGAAGAGTGGAAATGAAGATCTAGATGGAGAGTGGACAAAGGCGAAAAAGAAAGGAAGAAAGGTGACAGTGGAAGCAACAGCAGAGGCAGCAATGACAAAAGTGATGACACCACAAGGAAGCCAGGAGCAGAGGAGAACAGGAAACAGAGAACAAGCAGCAGAACAAGGTGCATCGGGCAAGAAACAGAGGAAGGCGGAAGAACAAGGCAGACCAGCCCACTGGAAGTGGTACAGCAGGAAAATACTTAAGAGACTGAATGGAAGGAAAGGCAGAAACAACAAACAGCTCGGACATGGAGGTGGGGGTAGGGAAGAAAGAAGACACCATATAAACAACAGAGGCTAGGAAAACAAGAGACACAAGAGCTGAAGACCAGGAAGAAGAAACCTGATAATGAGGGAGGTGAATCAGAGGAAGAGCCTGAGAGCAGTTTCCTGCCACCAAGCCTCTAGGCTCTAGCCTAGAGTGGAGACCAGAAAGCAGGAAGCAGCAGGGAGATGGGAATATGCAAGCCTTCTTAAACACAAAAGCCACCCAACAGCTTGGAAAAGTACAGGTATACAAGTGATGGAGTGGGAGGAGTCTACCACCACGAGCAGTAACACAGACTAGCCTTAACGGGACAGATGCACTCATTTTAAAACAAGCATAAATGGCACTGACAATAGTTTTGCTTAATGTCAGAAGTATCTTAATAAGGAAAAGATGGGAACAGATTGAACCAGTGTTGAACCAACCAACGTCAGACAATTTGCCTATAAGAATGTGGTATACTGGGGAGACTGATTATAAACATTTTGAGAAAAGGTGAAAATGGGGACCATCTTGGTGGTCAGGAACAAATGAGAACAAAGCAGCAAAGATAGAAAAATTATTCAAGAACCCAGAGCTGAGAACAAAGCAGGAAGAAGACATCAGTGGCAGATTGCAATGAACAATAGTATCAGTCAGGGAAACAGGGAAAGAATGCATTGCTTAGAAAGCTAGCGGTTTACATGATCGGAGGGAAACCATGCATAATAGAGAGAGATTTCAACTGTATAACTGAAGAGGGCAACAGAACAGGGGAAGGAGGAAATGGAGCCTCAGACAGCTCATCCAGGCTTTTAACAAATATAATAAACAAGAGTCACTAAGAGATGTGTGGACAGGAGAGAAAGTTTTCACTAGAACAGACCCCAGTGGAAACAGCTAGAAGAAACAAGGCAAGAATTCAAACTCTGGTTTAAAAGTAAGAAGAGAAAGAAAACATTCTTAGCACAGGCACCCTGGGTGCAATTTAAGGCTAATGAAAAAAAAAGAATCATTAGAAATCAGAAAGAAAGTCACAGGTCAGCTGTATGGTCCCAATACTTTTCGGCCAGAGTGAAGGCAGCAAAAGGAGACCTTTTAAAGCAGCGCAGGAAGGTGGTGGTGCCTTAGTGGAAAAGTAGGTGGTATTGGAGGCAACAAGATTTTATGAAGAGCTATACCACAAGAAGGAAACAGACAGGAAGATGAAGGATTTCTTGGAAGAGACTGAAGAGAAAGTAGAGGAGGAAGAAGCAAAAAAGATGGAAGAAGAGATAAGCTTAAAGTGGAGGAGTGTTTAAAAACCTTTAAAAGAGGGAAATCACCAGAAGCAGACGAACTGCCAATGGAATGTTATGAGAAGTTTTAAGCATGGGGGATAGGGAGTGATATAACTGAAGTTATAGGGACAGCCCTGATTGCACCTATGCCCACTGAAAACAAAAGTTGTTGTACAGATGGTAATGAAGACTTAATTTAAATCAAGTGCAAGGCTGTTTTTGAAATGCCTTCTAAAGACAGTGGACTGGGACCTAGACTTGGGTTCAATTCTCAGCTGTTTCACAGGCTTTCCGCATGATCTAGGTTTAGCTGTGTTTCCTCTCTCATCTCAGCTGGAACCACCAGATGCTAATACAAGTGAAAAGGAGACAACTACAATCTACTTCTTTATTATATAAATAATAAGACTGCTCAACACATCTATACATGCCGATTTGGGATTTAAACTAAATACATGTTATCTCACTTTACACTGAGACCACGAGTGAAAGTGAGTTGTACTTCACAGGAGATCTTTTCATCAAATGTCAGTATATACATTATGGTATAGAGCCATTTCTGTTAAACTAAATCGATAACTGGTACCTTCAGGAAGTAATTGTGAAATTAGGAATCAAACCAAATATTTTCTGTTTAGTAGAAACAAGTGGATTTCTTACGTTACAGGATGGTTTTCATAGTAAGTACTACTTGTATTCTCCTGCACAGGCTCAGGGGAGGGTTGCCTTTCTTCCTGCTCCTCTTCTACCTCTTCTTCCGATTCTAACATAAGAAACAAGACTAATGGATCAACGTCTGAAGAAATATGAAATCTCCTTTTAAAGTTCATTCGTTTGTAATACCTACAGAATAAATTAAAAAGTCAATGGTCCCAGCAAAAGTTTCAAGCAATCAGCCATGATATCAAACCAGGATGTGCAACAGGCACAATAAAAAATCAGGCCTTGCTCTTAAGCAAGACATCAACACAGAAGGGGACAAGAAGTACTTATGCTAGAAGGAAACCACTGACTGTGCAATACAGAGTTACTTGTGACAGTAGGGGAAAAGTCCAGGAAGGTTATGGAGTATCATCATTCACCGACAAATCAGGGATCCTGGTTTTCCCCAATAAAAAATACCAAATTCTCTGCTAAAAAAACCCAAATCCCTGATTAAAACTAAAGCCCTTCCCCACACTGGTGCCCCTCACTCCCCACCCACAGCCTTGCTGGTGACCCTTGCTCCCCACCCAGAGCCCCTGCTCCCTAAGCCCTGCCAGAGGGGGCCCCCAGCTGCCAGGGCTACAGACTGGACCACAGCCCCCTGCCCCCACTCCCCTCTAGTGCGGGCTTGGACAGGGCGGCTCCTCAACACTGTACACTCCATGCCCCCCAGACACGTACCCAGGGCAGGTGCAGGCTGAAGCTGCTGCCCAGCCGGATCGGGCTTGAGGCCCGGTGCCACAATGCGCAGCTGCAGGGCCCCAGTGCGGAGCAGGACGGGGCCACGGGTGGCTCCTCCAAAAGAGGGGGAGGGCTGGCTTTCCACTGCCACATGCACTCCCAGGGCGGGGACCCACACTCCACACCCCCCAGATCTGTACATGAAGCAGGTGCAGGCTGCGGGCTTGGGCTCCTGCCTTGCTTCCCTCCCCCAGGGCCCCCAGAGCCCAGCAGGCATGACCCAGGGCAGCAGGGAAGAGTGAAGCCGCCAGGGATCTCTTTGCAGCTGCTCGCCCTGCCCTGCTGACGTGCCTCCAGTGCCTGCCACTGCAAGGGGAGGGAGCAAGTTGCAGTGCATGGCAGGGAGGCGGAGCGTGGCCAGGGCCATTGTGGCAGTAGTGGCACAGGGCAAACTTGGCCACAACAAAAGCCGGAGCTGGGATTGCCTGTGCGCAGCCGACTGGAGGCCTGCGGGCACAACCCGGCGCAGCAGGCAACAGCGGACATGCTGGGCATCTCCTCACCCCTGCTCCCACCTCCACTGCTGCACTGGCAACGCGCCTCCAGCTCCTGTGACTGCTCTGAGGGGTGCAGCCCCGCACTGCTGCCTTCATTTCAGCCCCACGCGTGCAGAAAACGTGTCGCCAGGGCAGCAACAGAGGGGAGCAGCAGCAAAGAGATCCCTGGCAGCTCCACTGCTGCCTGCCACACTGGGTCATGCCCACCAGGCTCCAGAGGCCTCAGGAGAGGGAAGGAAGGTGGCAGGGAAGGGGCCTGCTGTTCCCTGCTTCCCTCCCCCATGACACAGCACAGCAGGGAGCAGAGGAGACATGCAGAGAACCTGCTCACCACTTCTTGCCCACCCATTGCCCCAGCAATGTGCCTCCTACAGCTCTGCACCCCTCAGAGCAGTGGCAGGCACAAGAGGCATGTTGCCAGGGCAGGCGGGGGGTGAAAAGTGGTGAAGAATTTCCGTGCCGCCCCACTGTTCCCAGCTGCACCAGGTCACGCCTGTTGGGCTCCACAGGGCCCATGGGAGGGAAGCAGGGCAGCAGGAAGCAGTAGATCCACTGTTCCCTACCAGTCTGCTTCCCTCCCCCAGCTCGATGGGCATGACCTGGCACAGCTGGCAGGGATCTCACCGCTGCCGCACCCCCCCCAAGCCTCCCAGCGATGCGCATCCTGAGCCTGCCCCTGCTTTGAGGGGCACAGCTGCCCTCACTGCAGCCCCACTGCATCACTGGGGCAGTGCCGGATGAGGAGATTCCCAGGGGGCACTCTGCTGTTCTATGTGGGGGGGAAGAGAAGCTTGCAGCCGTTCCCTGCAGCCTTCCAGCCTCCACTTACTACCCAGCCCCAACCCACAACCCCCAGCTCCCACTTACCACTGCACATGCTCCTGGAGAGAAGAGTGAGCTTGAAGCAAGCCCTGGGTGACTGAAAGCCTCAGGCCCTGCACCCTTCCCCCTCTCCCTCCCGCTCCAGGCAGGGCTGTGGGGTTTCCCACCCCTTTTGCAATCAGCTTGTGCAGGCTGGAGCTCTGCCCGCCTGCACAGCTCTTTGCAAAACCAGGAAATCCGTGGCTTTCTCTGCTAAAATGGAAAGATCTGCATTTTCTCTGATAAAAATGGGAAATCCATGGTTTTCTCCATTTTTCCAAGGGAAATGGAAAACCTGGATCCCTGCTGATAATATTGCAATGGAGACACTCCCTATAACAAAGAATAGCATTAGTAGCACACTTACACTGTAGGGAACCAAAAAGCCAAACTCAATATACAAATATTAAAAATTTGCACAAGTATGAGCTCACATTACTTATAGTTGAAAAATACTGAAAAACTGCACATACTTCACAAATATACTTCAAATATTTGAGTACGTGGGCTCCACATTTGAAAAACGACACAGTGAAGTTAAAAAAGGTCCATAAGCAAGGCAATAAAATGATAAAGGGCTTGGAAGGCAAGTCAAATGAGGAGAGGCTGAAGCAACAGGCATGTTCAGCTTGCAGAAAAGGTGCTGAAGAGGGGACATTGCAGCAGCCTTCAAATACCTGAGGGGCTGTCATAAAGATGGAACAACACTTTCTCTCTCTCACTGCAGAGTAGGACATGGACCAATGGCTTGCAGTTTCAGCAAAGCAGATTTAGACCGGATACCAAGTAAAACGTCTCTGTTTAAAACAGTGAAGCAGTGGAATAAACTGCCTAGGGAATTTGTGGACTCTTCATCACTGGAGGTGTTCAAGAAGACACTGGACAGGTATTGGTTAGGAGCAGTTATGCCTATGTTTTACTATGGGTATTTCCCATGCCTGTGAGCTTTGCTGGTTGCTACATGGGGCCAGGAGAATTTTTTTCCCCTCCTGTTGCTGCATGAGTCTGGGGATTTCTTATACCTTCCCTCAGATGCAAGTGTTGGGTGCAGCTGAGGCTGGGAATTTTGATTGGGATGTGCCAGTCCTTCTGCTGGGACTTGGACCCAGAGGTTCCTGGCTAGAAGGTCTTGCCCTGGTGCTCAGTGTCAGACTGATTGCCATATTTGGGATCAGGAAGGAATTTTACCCCATGGTCAGACTTGTACAGACTGTGGGGGGGTTGGCCATCCTCTGTAGCAGGGGGCATGGCCCTCTTCCTTGGATCTCAGACCTATTTTAACAAGCTTTGTAGCATCAGGATGTTAGCTGCTGTGGTCCCCCTGCTTTAACATCCTAATCTGCCACAGGAAAGTCTTGTGGCTGTGTCAGGGTTAACAATGTAGTTTTGCTAACAGGTTAGACAATGGATGTGTACAGGATAGCTTGGATAGATATAGCCCTGCCTCAGGCAAAGGGTTGGACTAGATGACCTCTGGAGGTCCCCTCCAACCTTACTTTCTACAATTCCATTTCAAGACAGCAACTTCTTACATGAAATATTTACTCTGATTTTGACTGACATAAGGATGCAGTTAATTTTTCCAGAATGGAAGATGCACCTCTTTTTCAAAGTCTGAAGTCACTCTAATTAGGCCCCACCTAAGCCAAATAGTTTTAGTCTAAAGAAGGACAGTTTAATTCATGCTGGGTCACAGGCAAAAAGGTTTTACACTAAATGGCATGGAGTCATAGAAATCTGCAACTTCAACCCAAAAGCACACCACACAAAGAACATGAGAAAGGACTCACATTTTCATGGATCTCTAGACAGACATTTAAGAGGGTACACACATACAAAAGCTGAATAAACAGCAGAGTAAAACCCTAGATCAGTGATTCTCAACCCTTTTAGTCTCAAAGCACCCCCAGAAAAATACCAGCTCTTGGCTTTCACTTATTTTTTTCTGTAATCCAAAAATACCTCCAAAAACAAAACCAGAAAAAAACAGCAATTCTGTTACAAAGAACACAGACCACAACAGGTCAGAAATGTTTTTGATACTGTGGATTCCTATTTTAAATCTCTGGGCGCATCCAGACAAGTGTGGGCATGTGGTATGTGGCACCGCAGACTCGTCTGCGACGCCACACCCCCCACACGCAGGCATTACCCGCGCCGCTAATTTGCAGTGCAGGGCTTTTTTTTTTTTTTTTTTTTTTTTTTTTTTTTTTTTTTTTTTTTTTTTTTTTTTTTTTTTTTTTTTTTTTTTTTTTTTTTTTTTTTTTTTTTTTTTTTTTTTTTTTTTTTTTTTTTTTTTTTTTTTTTTTTTTTTTTTTTTTTTTTTTTTTTTTTTTTTTTTTTTTTTTTTTTTTTTTTTTTTTTTTTTTTTTTTTTTTTTTTTTTTTTTTTTTTTTTTTTTTTTTTTTTTTTTTTTTCCTGCTGCAGGAGCACCACAGAGCACTCCTAGATGCCCGCAGGACCCCAAATAAGGCTGTTGGGAGCAGCAACAGTTGCAGGCTCCAACCTCCCCTACCCCGCCCAGGGTGACCTGTCATGCACCAGAGTGTGCGTGGCATAGGTGTTCCCCAGGGACAAGCAGCAGCGCCACAAGGTGTATTGCTGCTACTTGTCCCTGGGGAAACACATGTTCCCGCTTCTCTGGACACATCCTCTGGGTTTATCATGCAAATCATTTGCCACGACTCCCTGGTTGAGAATCACTGCCCTAGATATTAAAAAATTCTCACCTTCATCCAGTTCTGCCTCAGAATCCCCGAATACTTCATCTTCATATCTGAAGATGTCATTATGAACATAGAACTTATTTGGAACAGATCCCTGTGGAGGGGAAATGTATATATTCACTAGCAACTTGAAAAGGATTGATGAGATGTCCGTACTGTTAACTATAAGCTTTTATGCAACCCACAACTCCTAAATTGAAGTACTCCTTTCAAGTGCACTCAACACAATAGTATGTGAATGTCAGTAAATTGTTTCAGAAGTAGTCTTCACTGTCCTCCCATCTCATTAATACTGACTGTGCATATCTTATTTTATTTAAATAATGAACTGAAGCCCATAGCCGTGACCAACCCATCAGCTCAACAGTTTGAAATGTGAGAATAAAACTTTATCCAGTTTCCATTTACAATAATTATGCTTCTTATTACTGAACATTCATTTTTCCTATCTGTTTCACTGAGACTCAGCTGTGGTATTTCCCTGGATAGGCCATTTTGCTTTGGCCACTAAAATGTCACATGGTAGCACATAACTACATGTCTATTAAGAAAAGAGTCTGACAGAAGGAGTTACTCAAAATGATAAACTAGTCAAAGCTCCAAAGCTCTAAGACACTACCATAAAAACATTTTATTAAATAGGGCTGAAAAGATGCAAAGAAGGATGTGTCCTTTTCTAGCACACTGAAGCAGCAACTTATGTTGCTTAAATTAATATTCATATTTGTTACCAGAGAGATATGGATCAGTCTAAATTGTGTCAACAGGCATAATACATATTCTTTGTAATTTGCATAGATGATGGCTTTGGTATACAAATTAAAAGCCACTTTGGATTACTGCCATGCTACAGAAGAACTGAAGAGAACAAAATCCTATCAAGCAGGGGTGTCAGATTCGTTCAATGAAGGTGCCTAGCAATACAACCCTCCAGCCACACAGAATACTGCCTTTCAGCCTGGGGTACTAGGGTTCTATTATCAATAAATCAACCAAGACAAACAACAGATACTGTACTTACTTCAGGAGCCAAGACAAAGGTCTGCATGAACTTCCTCATTGGCTGCCCACTGTTTGACAACTCCCCCATGACCTGCACAACTACTCCATCACTCAAGGTTGCATGTGCATCCACGTGACGAATCTTCGTATGACACTCACTAAACTGCAGGGACATCACCTTCTTGTGTATTTCCTAGAAGCAAATAGATAATTTATTACAACTTAGATGTTTCCCAGAATGGTCAGGTAATGAGCCACGGTTATACCCAATTTTCCAGCCTAGCTGCAACAGACAGCATATACTTAGCCTTCCCAAGGCTTAGCGGTGAGCCAAAGAACTCATTTATGTAAGAAAAAAAAATCCTCAAATCTCACATACTGAAGTACTTGCAGAAGTTCCATCATCGACTTATCTGAGCCATATATAGTCCCTCTGTACCACAAAGCATACATAGTTCAATTTTTATACCCAAAAGACGGTATCCAATCCATTTGTCAAAAAGGAACACAACTCAGTATGCCACCTTTCACAACAGCACTCCTCAGGAAGCAAGGAGACCAGAACCAAAAGAAACACACATGCTTCAACCCTAGACTCATGCTGCTTTGAAGGGACAGATACAACAGTGAAAATCCAGCACAGATTCTTAGGGTGGAGACAGGGGGTTATTGTTGTATAAATTTTCCAGTTGTGTGTACATTTGTTTAAGTTAACAACTACAACTAGAAAAGGAACCTTTTTCCTTCTGGCTTTGACACAGGCATTCAAAACAGCAGAGGCAGTAATCTACTAGTGTCATTTCACCAATTAGGTAAGAAATTCATTAAAAGCAAACCATAAAAAAAACAACATGATCTGCTTTTATTGACATGGCATCAATTATCAGCCATTAAGAGAAAGACTGAAGGATTGATTCAGATACATACAGCTTGGCCATATACTGCTTCCTGGGGTTTCCCACTGGCATCCAGTCCTCCATGGACATAAGAAGAGTTCCTGCCATAAAACCTATGAAACAAGGAAACAAAGTTTAAGCATCTCAACATAAAGGCACAAAATTTCAAAGATACTAACCGCATTTAAATAAAATGTCATTACAAGAGATCTTTGAGGGAAAGGGGGCAACAGGGTGGGGGAGATCTGTTTCTCTAATGCATAACTGTACTGAGCTGGTTCTGCAGCTTCTACATACTGAAGGAATGGGCCCTACTTCACCAATGTTTCTGCCTACTTAGTACAGTTACCATGTTAAATGAGTCCCATCTAGTTTCAGATTTCAGTAATTGTGTGTTTAAATTCAACAGTCATTTTGTATAGAATTACCAGTTTAGTCTATTTTCCTGATTTGGAGGAAGCCCTCTCCCAACACACCACATGTATACACACACAAAAAAATAAAATCAGGACCTTTATAAGATATTCTAAAAAAAGATCTTATTCTGCAGAGCTGCTAGACAGAAAGCAAAATTCTATCTTTGCTTCAAAACAGATAAAGACAGGTATAAGCCAAGTTCAGTACATACACTAAAATATATTTATCTGCAATGATGTTGCTGAAGCCCAAGGACAGTGACCCAGAAGGTATTAAACACTCCCAAACCGCTAAGGAATACTGGATTTAAAGAAATTACAATTAGCACCCCCGCCCCCGAAAAGTGCAGTCCAAGATCTCACTGAGAATCATGGCAGATCAACAGACAACTAGCCAGAACTTCATCTGACAGCTCCCATTCAGGGAATACAGATTCCAGGTCTGAGAGCACTTGTTGTCATCCATAGTTAAAAATAAAACTTTGGGAGCAAAGATAGCTTTTAACTCAAGTTCTTCCTTCCACTTTGGATGGGGCCACACCAACACAGTAACTGGAGAAAAGACTGCTGAACGTTCCAGTTCTTAATATCGCATTATATCTGCAATCTAGTTCTATTTAGCACCATAGTCCACTTTTTTGTTTGTTTTGTTTTTAAACAATAGGACCACTTATTTCTCCTAAAACCTAAGGAGATTCCATGAACATCATGCAGGTCAACCTTAAAAGCTAAGCTGCGTATGAAGTCTTAATTAGGTTTTGTTGTGCACACACACACTCTAAATAACTCATTAAAATACATGGTCTCAAACACAACATGCGTTCCTTATATGAATTTGCAGAGAGACATGGTATCTTATTTTAAACTTACACTGGTTTATGACCTTGTATTCTCCTTCACTTTGACATTAAAGTTCTCCTCAAATTATACTTATAAGTAACCAATTTAGTCAGTTATTGCTAACTAAACAATTGAAAACTGAGGTTGTAAACGAGGTGATTTTTTGCTTCTTTGGTGGCATTTAGCAAGAACGAGATGTATTCAGTGAAATGCCAAGATAGCAATGCAGACTGTAAAGGGGATAGTATATTTTTAATATTGATCCTTTATGCTTTCACATACAGTAAGTCTACATACATCACTCAATATTTTTTTGGCATCCTTTATGCACATACTGTCTACTTATTTTTCAGAGGCTAGAATTCTTCTACTAAAAGTTTTGATTGGCCAGTTTAATCAAATGATCAGTTTAAAACTATTATTTACACCTAACCCTCCAAACTGGCACATGCAAACTAGAAATCTGTTAGATTTGAAAGGCATCATCTTCAAAAGCCCGTTTCTAATGCTACAAAAGTCCTCCAAGAATTTAACATTATTTTCTGTAATTTCAGGAAGAATTATTTCATACAACACTAATGGGGCCCCTGCCCCATCACTGAAGGAGAGGGAGCCACGGATCAGCTGGCTGGCTCCAGCCTCCTGCACAAACTGGTAGCAGGGGGCCCTTGGATAAAATTCCTGACCACCCCAGGTGTGGCCAGCAAAGTGCTGCCAACGATTGACAGGCCTGGGGTGGAAGTAGTGGATAAGGTGACCCAGGGATATAAGTCCAGGGTCTGAGGCAAAGGGGGCAGTCTGGCCCTGCAGGCTGCAAAAAGCAGAGCTCCAGGGAGAAGAAGAGCCTGACTGGACAAGAAGGAAGGACTCCAGGCTGCAGAGAAGCTGCAGGAAGCCCCTGCACCACCAAGCAAACAAAGATAAGTATTTTGGGGCCTTGTATTGTAGCCTGTTGCCACAGCATGTTGTTGACTCAGAGTGAGAAAGCTTTTGTTTGACAGCAGATGCTCATGTCTTTTTGTTTGTGTTTTAATATTGGAGGACCGAGTTGTGGCTCTAGGGGCAGAGGTGGCCACTGAGAAGGGTGCTGAGGGCACCCTGGGTCCTAGACCCTTTGAAGGGTATAGCACTGCTGTTAGCAGGACTGTGGTGCCAGACAGCAAAGATTGGCGGGACAAGCCCATGAGGGTGAGACCAGGGGCTGAGGGGCCCAGAGCCCACGATGGCATGGGTGGAAATGGGGCCCTTCTGCCTATGGCCGTCAGGCAGTGGGCCTCAGGCAGAGGGGTCCAGCCAGAGTAAAGTGGGCCAAGGCCAGGGGGCCTCAGTCCAAACTGGGGCTTAAGACCCAAAGCAAAACCCCCTGCTTAATCATAACATCAAGATGTGGCAGGTGAGACAACAGAGTGGAACTCTGAGAGGCCAGAGAGAGCAAGCAAGGCGGGACCCAGGGGGCTGCCCAAAGCCAAACCTAGAAGGGTGCGGGGCTCTGTTAACACTGCATGGGGCAGTAGTACCCCAGGAAAGGGGGGAGGGTTGGGTCTCCATGCTTCTTCCGCGGCACGGGGCTGAGTTGCCAGTTCCAGGCAGGTCCTGCAGGAAGGGCTACAGATGTTCCACCTGGCTCTGCAGGCCCCCCCCCCAAGCACAGGACCTGGGGTGGTCACCCCAATTCACCGTACCCTACGGATGGCTCTGGGGCTGTCAACGGATGACTTTTGCTACTGGGTGGATTTAAATCAAATCTATTTAAATCACTGGTCAGGAAGCCTCAATTTAATCACTGTTTTCTACAATAAGTGCATTCTTGTTGTTTGATAGAACCTTAATACATAATATTCACAACTCGGACAGAGATGTAGGTTTCATTTTTAAAAGGTCCACACTACACCTGTGGTCCTGAACTGGTTGATCACGATCGGCCAGTTGATCAGGGAGCCTCTTTTAATCGATCCTGGGCTGGGGGGGCTGGGCATGCACTATATTAATCATGGATATATGGGAGATAATTTTGCCATGCTGTATTAGGAAGACATCGAATGAGCACTATAGCCGTATGTCATTAGTCTGGGGCTTTCTTCACTTTCTTTTAGGTGTCTTCTCATCTTTGATTACTTCTCTCTTTTACGGCCTGCCAAGCCTGCTGCCCTGGTAGGTTTTCCCTTCCACCATACCATTCCTTCACTAGATCTCAAATCAATGTCCAGACAATACTTAGAAATGTATCCCAAAAGATTTCTGGAATATTCTGCTCAAAATGTTTCTCTTTTGTTCCTACTTCCCCTCCCCCCTTGCATTTATCTCCAGGCTCCTCCTCCTTGCCCAGATCTACTCCACCCCCAAGAATCCTCTCTTCATTTAACTTCTTGAAACTTTGCACTTTTAGAAAGAGGTAAGGGCTTGACTCTGTGTACACAAACTTGCAGAGAGACAATAGGGCTGAAGGATAGGTAATCAGGTCTGTTCTCTCTCATCTCCATATACTACTGTTAACAAGGATGCTATCTCTGGAAACAAATCCACAGTTTGGGAAGTGAAACTAAGCATCACAAAGATGCTTAATGGGATCTTTTAGACTGAGCACCGAGTCCTATTGGGTAGAGTCTTTACTAATGTATAGAGGAGCCCCTGGAAACCCCATAAGGTTGGGCCCCAAATACAGTCCATGTTGTGACCTATTTATAAAACTTTTCTAAAAGGGTTACATGAATATATCATCTCAAATAGTATACAATTAGAAGTTATAATCCCTATTCCATGGTGATCTCTTTGAGCTTCACCATGTCTTAAATTAAAACTATCTTTATATAAGGTTTATTTGTTTTAAAGCATCTTAACAAAAAGCAAACAAACAAACAAACTAAAAAATGATTAAATCAAAGCAATTGATTTAAATAAAAAATCCAATTTTTAATTTTTTTTAATTGTTGATTTTTATCTGCTCTGCTTTGCCACTGCAGCCATAGACCATTTCCCAACTTTTTCTGTCCCACAGCACACTTACCTGACCTTTCCCATCCCATGGCACACTGGTCGAACATGGAGCAAGGGCACGGGGGGGAGGGGGGAGTAGCTGAATGCAGAGCAGGGGGTGGAGGCTATCATCACATGGCCGGCTGGGGCAGGGTGGTGGCATGGGGTGGCACTGGCTGTAGCCAAACCCTGCCAGGAGCCATGGCCTCCCAAAGATTCCACGGCACACCTGGATATATCCAACAGCACACCAGTGTGCCATAGCACACCAGTTGGGAAATGCTGTCATAGACCCACTACAAATACACAAAACAAAGCTTTGTATTAAGTACAGATCAAACTATCCCAATCAACTTGCTACTGCTACTTCGCAGTCAGAACTTTTTCCAAAATTCTCTCTGGGAGACTGGCATGCAGAACAGGGATATAGGATACAGTTTATACACTTCTGAAACTGAAAGTCTATGTAATTCCACCTTATGCTTGAGATAGCAAGAACATAACTCTGCCCCACGCTTTGAATTTTTAGCCATGGTCAGTCCCAGCTTTGGAATTTCCTGACTTGCAACTTCCTGACTGTGCAATTATATAATTGCATGAAAGGAAAGTAACTTGCCTTACTCTACTTTTCTGAAGCATTTATCAAGAATGAAAACCCTGAAGAATACAGCCTTTGGTGCAAGTTACAGGAACAATATTTAATTGTTAAGATTTGATCTTCTGTAGTATCCATAGGGTAGCTCCAGGGCTTTACTTCTGTAAGTAGGTTCTAGCACCATATACTTACAAAAAACCTCAAAGCATTCTTTTCAGAAGGAAGGAACAAGAACTATTCAAACTAGAGGTGCTCCAACACATCAATCCATATCGTATTGGCACAGATA